TTAATATGAGTATATTTGATGTAAATCGGCGACAAAATGAAATGCCAGCTGCGATTTTACTGCGTTTTGTGAACAATTACGCAGAGTTGGATGCTTCGTAAGCCAGAATTTGTATATTATTTATCATTGCTTTTTTCGTTTCTAACATTCGACGTTTTGTTATACATTTACACATTAATAGGTTAGAAATTATTTAAAACCTATTTGAAATACTATCTTTCAGGGAATGTCAGATTGGAATGCTACAATGACTCGAGAGCTCATTTTTGTGAATTACATCTTATTGTTGGGCCATGATTTACCTGTATGAATAGCAGCTTTAATTGTCAAATTTGGATTGATATTTGCTTCAAAATATTTTTTTTTGCTCCAAAGGTTGTACGATTTGTAATGAGCAGGGTTGGGGAGTATTTAAATTCTTTTATTTGGAATACATATTTCACATTCATTAGCATGTTCATCCACGCCAGTGGAATAATTGTTTTTCTTTGCAGGTTTTATACATTCGCTAACTAGGAGTTTATTGCCTGATGATTTGTTTGAAAAATCAGTCGTTTTATAAGAAAATTCCATTTCTTTGTGTTAAAAATATTTTGATATCATTTTATCAAGCCTTAGTTAGCCGGAATGCAGACGTTCACACATTTATTAGAGGATCGGGACGGAAACGTGCATGTCAGCAAAAACGTTCGCGTAGCGCGCTTCATTCAAAACGAGCAACAAGTTCTTAACAAGAGTTCTTACACTTCTCTCGGAGAACTGGGAGCAATGGTTAGATCCTCACCCCTAGAAAATCTTACCTTTGATATTACCTGAAATTTGATGGACATAATGAAAATATAAATTTTTCTGGTTACAAATTAGAATGTAGCAAACGTTTTGAATTTTTGATACTTTCGAAAAATCAAGGTTTTCAACGAATTGAGACCTGCATTATTCGCATAAATGCCCTTCATATCATCAAACAACAAAATTTAATAAAAAACGGAGTTATTTTTTGTTTTTAAAATGTCCCAGGGGCATAATGTAAAGGAAAAGGAATAGCTAAAATTTTAAACGATTAAACATTCATTTATTTTTGTAATTTATTTTAAAAAATGTATCACATAACTAGTATAAAAATTATTACATTACTAAAGGCGAAGAAATACGGGTTGTTTAGGATCACTAGCATTTTTGTCTGTACTTACATTAATTATTGCACTTGATCTGCGGTTGTAATTACCGATATAAGCAAGGCTGAAATGTAGTATGAAAGAATAAGGTCTTGTACTGACAATCACTGAATTGAAATCGTCTTATATTTAGATGGGATATCTTGTTATTCGAATATTTTTAGAGATGTAATTTGTATTCTTCATTCCCAAGGAGTTCATACTCAAATATTTACAAGTATCAACGGTTTTACGCGTTCCGTAACTATAATGCGTATAATGAAAGCATTTTAATGTATGTGCATCTTGTCTTCTATTAGCAACATCATGGAATTTTCTTCCTTTGAAGAAGAGCGTCGGAAAAGCACATCTTAGAGCTTTCACCTAAAATCTTTGCTTTCTTCTGGGTACTTGCAATAAGCATTTACGACTATCGGGAAAAAGACTGAGTCGTTCCCAAATATCGGCGCTGTGCTTCAAAACGTCAATATGCTCTTCGTTTTAGCGTCCCCAGACTGAACGGTCGTGCGGGCTCTAAACTGTGAACGTTGTCAACGTCTCTATGCGATGAGTTGCGGCTTTCAGTGGTGCCTCCGACAGGGAGCTAAGCACTTCCGTTCGGCTGAGTGTAATGTTGGGAAGAGTCTCGCGTTTGGTTTATCCCAAATCAGGAAAATCGCAATTGCGTTTACCTAAGGTACGGTCTGAAAAGTTCTTGTAGGTATGTAAAGAATTACTTTCGGTAGAGAGAAAACTGATAATAAACATAACTTTAGAATTAGACTTAAATTTATCGACCATAAATCAGACAGACATAGTTTTTATTGTTTATTAATTGTTAAATCATAGAATTTATAAAAGATATGGACAAAATTTCTATTCGCATTTACAACAGCACTTATTTGCAGTTAATCACAACACATCTCTTGTAAAATCTCCCAAACGCTATGATGTCATCTATTATCAACCATATCTTTACAAAGGTATTTAACCATTGACTGATAAAGGCTCCAAAAATATCCGGTAGAAATTTAAATAGAAAATGTGTATATCTTTTGTCAGTTCTATGCTTTAATAATCACTAAATGAAAACGAGGGTTGATTGATGTGTTGTCGTTAAGAAAACATCTGTTACTTACTGTCACAGATATAAAAACACTATCATTATCTTTAGGCCTCTCTTATCAATATGAAAATGTGTCCATATTTGTTAATAGAGTGCGTAGATTAATTAATTAGATCGCTGGTGAGGTAGATACCTTCTATTATTATGATAATAAAAGATGTCCGGTATCAACAATTGTTGATACCAGGCAACATTTTTTATTTATCATAAGAGTACATAGAATTAAGTGCGCAAAGTGCAAATATTTCCATGGTTTTAAAAGAGTGAATAATCCTCTGCACAAAACTCATAATTTCACACCGACTGAATTCAAAGAGAGCCAGAGCAGTTTCAGAGATTCGCCGGAGAACTCAGAGCTGTTGCATTGGTGTTATCTCTAAGGCTGTACTCTCATCGGGAGGGTCTAGGGTTTGAGTCCGGACGGTGGCATATTTTCGACATATGCTACATACTACTAGGCTAACATTATACTAGGTAGACCGAACTCAATTACTAACTGGAGAAAAATTCTAGAGGCAGGATGATCTGACCTGTAGCTTTCCATGGTTTCTCCCATTAATAAGGGGAATACTGCAACAATACCCTAATAATCGGGCTAGGAACTGCGTGCGATATTGCCTTCTTCTTCCTTCTCCTATCTTCTCTCTTTACACTTACATGCACTTTTCTACCACATATGACGGGATACCAGTCAGGTGTTTAACAGCGTCAGCGGTTTCCAGTAGGGGAGATACCTGGAAAAGAAATACCACGCAAGTCTACGTGAGTGTGTAGGTTTGTGCCAGATCTCACAATCCAGCGGCGAAGAACTGTGCCACCTCCCTGAATAAAATATTCCTGCAAAGCTCTGCTTTGTTGCTCTTCGAAGATATTTTGAACTCTTTTTTTGAAAACTAAAAGTATTGCAGTATTACTTTTGATTACTTTACTTGCTATTCACAACAATTTTTCCTATTAAAACCTGTATTTGAAATGCCCTGTAAAAAATCAACATAGATGTGTTGAATGCATTCGATTGCTTTCGAAATGCAATATGGAAAGTTTGCAACACGCCTCGGTCGATTCCGGACTAGTTGCTGTGACACGATACGCAGGGGAATCATTGCGTTAATGCATTACGTTAATGTATTATCATGCAGAATCAGATACTGATAATTAATGGGTGGAGATATTTGCATTCTCAATATGGTAAATAATTCCAGTATGGAACCGTTTAGAAATACGAAAAAAACTGGGCTAATCCTCGGTAAATTCCTAATCGTTTGGCATGCCACCCACAGTTGCAGTAGTAGCCGCTGCAATGTTTTATTTATGCACATTAATCAGTCGGCACTCCAAAATTCAGAGTTATAGCTCTTTATGACGTATTCATTTGTTTCTTCTTTATTTTCATATTATCGAGATTATTATAAATTCCGTAGTTTCCCCAATCGATATCAGGTGAATGCCGGGACAGCATTCGATCTTTCCTTCTTGATTGTTCGCCCTTTCTCTCCTTTCGTACACTCCACCAAACTTGTACATGATCTACATTAATGTCGTTGACCAGTCGAAAGCCTACAGCTTGTCCCGGCTATGGCGGTGACCACTAGAGAAGATACCTGGAGAGGGAAGACCACATGTAGATCGGAGCCGGTTCCAGCGTCCCGGTTCCAGCGTCCCCAGAGAGAGAGGAGAGGAGAGGAGAGAGAGGAGAGAGAGAGAGGAGAGGAGAGAGAGGAGAGGAGAGAGAGAGAGAGTAGCACCGTCACAGCCAGGGGGATAACATGCATTCCACTTTAGAAACTAATGACCAGTGTAGTTGGTGCGTCCAAGTACAAAACATTTTTGCTCACTTCAAAATACTTCTAAATCTTTTGTATCAAAGCTAGTAATGAACAAGCTGTGAGTTCCACCTTATCAGTTGAAAATTTCTAATTACACGATATTACTTCGATTTGTGCCTCAGCTTATCTATTAATCTACCTATCCTTTGTATATATCCATCCCACCTCATCCATCTATCTATTTATCTATCATCTAGCGCTACCTTAATTTGTACCTCAGTTGAGCGCTGTACCTTTCCTAATGGGTGACGCGGATCTGGCCTTCTGCCTTCGCAGTTGAGCTAAAACAACCTTGAGCCCGCAACTCATTATTTCCGAAGTATTATTATCTTAAAATAATTCTTTCGAATACGACCCCTTACTCTTGGACAATCCTATTACTTCTTCAGCCAATCCTGAGGCTAATATGAACATTTCCCTGATATAGTAAGAAATACTTCGTTCATTGTCATTTATGTAGATTTATCCAAATTGTCTGGCCAATATGTGAAGCAACCGTCTACTAATATTAGCCATAATTCAAACGTGATTTCATTTTAATGTGATAGATAGTATATGATGGATATTATTGAAAATATATTACTTTTTATTTGTTGCTTTTTACAGCTTATACTTCTGTATTGAGCCACCTGGTAACAAAATAATTTTGGAATAATGTGTCTATCTACATATTTATCTATCTATCCATCTTTCTGTTCATGTATCAATCTAACCTGTGCGTCTTCATCAACCCATGCACCTATCCATTCATCTGTCTGCCTATCTTGGCGCGCGCGCACACCCATCTCGCCGCCTGCCTCCGCCGCGCGCGGTGGTGGCCGGCGGCGGTGGCGGTGGCAGAGGGTGAGGGTGATGACGGCGCGGGCGGCGCGGGCGGGGCGGCCGCGGGCGCAGGTGGGCGTGCGCGGGCTGACGGGCCGCGTGGAGCTGGTGGAGGGGCGGCGCACCAACTTCAAGCTCGACCTGCTCAAGCTGAAGCGCGAGCGGCTGAGCAAGGTGGGCGAGTGGACGCCCAGCGCCGGCATCAACGTCACCGACCTCTCCGCCTTCTACGACACCAGCTTCACCAACATCACGCTCATCGTCATGACCAGGGAGGTACGCGACGCCAGCCTCATTTTATTCTTAATGACCCATAGTTGTTATTATTTATAATTCATAGTAGCATTTTGTTATTAGAAGGTATTTGTCCTCATTTTATGCTGTTTTTATGTTAAGTCGATGATAATAATTACAGATTTAGATTTAGATTTATTGAGTCTAAAAACTGTATGTGACGTATGGGGAAGAAGATTATCTGCGCACGTTTTCTTGAGTTCCAGAATACCTTCCCGTCATTGTAACTATAAATAGTTGAAAGAGGGGTAAAGCTTAAAATAAATAAATAAAAATAAATTTTGAAAAATCGTGAGATTAGTAATAAGTGAAAAAAGAGACATTACAATCAAAAGGAGAGTTTGACAAAACGTGCGCATAGTGAAGCTACATTTACATTTACAGACCTACTTGATTAGAATTTCAGAGGTTGATGCGTAAGGGAAAACCAAAAATCTGTTCAAATGTCACTTGCATTTGGCCAATTTTTAATATATTATAGCAGATGTTGATCATTGATGTGGATCAAAGTTGTTGTTGTTTGGTAATATTTGTACTATGGGGAATTTTCAAATTTGGCAACACTTGTGCGCCCATCTCTACCAATAGTATTTTTAATTCTTGTGCTCTCCATCGGAACCGACCCACGACCCAACATCACTCGCTTGTATAGTTCTTTACTTTAAAAAATACGAGATATAATTAGAACGTGTATTGTTGACAGATTTAATTTTGGCGTGATTTTCACTGTGATTTCAATTTTCTCATAGATAGTGTCGGTCATGCCTAATGTTGCGTAGGAGTGTAGTGAGACGCCGAAATCCGACAAGCAAGAGAACCGAGTTATAGGCAAGCTAGAGTGCTTGTTGTAGTCATTCAGCCAAAATTACTTTTGATTCCCCAATGTTATTAAAATATTAATTAACTATTGGTATTTATACCTTAACGATCGCAAAGAACGCATCCACCGCTAGACAACGAAAGACGTGATCAAACGAGAGCAGTACATTGCTTAGTTTGAACAAGCGCTGCTTTCAATTTCACACATGCGTATAAATACGTAAACAAACACTTGGCAAGAAAGATTTTGACAGAAAATGCGTTGATAATTAAATAAACTATGTATTGCATGATCCCTAAATTCACTTTTTGTACCAATTTGTATGTATTCAATTTGTTCAACGTTCACAAATTTTGCATTATCGTTCTCTTTGTTTCGGGGTAGCAAATATATTCTTTTTTAAGTTCGGGAAGGAATAAGAGTCTCCCATTTTAAACACTACTATTTAAGTGATTAGTACCATTAATCAGAGAACAATATTGCTATCAATCATTATTTGAAGATTTATTATTTTAGATAAATAATTGAAGAAGTGCCTCGCGTTGGCCAGGTTATTCACTTATCAGAGTTGTCTATTAGACTAGGAAGGGAATGAATTCTATCTCGTATAGTCCCATCCCAGCCTGCCGTGCCCTGCACCCAAAACCACTATCAGACCCGGCGGTTAATGTATGAATGGTGGGAAGCTATATTCACACGAAAATTCAGGATGTGAGAAATATTCCATTGAAGTCAAATTACAGAAATGCAAAATTCTATAAACGTTTTATACACAGACATATGACGACATGCGTGTAGGAAGAACTGATGTAATTCTGATAATGACCTTACTAAGTACTTAAATATTTAAAAAATAGTTTTCATCGTAAATCGTTTGAAAATATTTGTTAAATGAATAAGTAAATTAAATTTTTTTATTATATTTTGTGGCGACCCGAGACCTTACGAGCGTTCGAATCATCGCAAAAGTTATTTCACTTAACAAGCCTACGTTTTGCCTGCTACGATCACATGAAACCCTTACATGTGTACATTAATAAAGGGGGCGGTAAATAATGAAAAAACAGTATTCTACCAATACGACAAACCGGAAGCTAATGAAACATAACGACACTACACAATGCATTCTTCCCATTAACACAATGGAATTTTGTTGCCGTGCGATGTTTACAAAGGTACAAACGTGTTGAACAACGTATGGCTCATTACTAGCCAAGCGCACGATAATGAAAACAAGTTTATGACACACAGTATCGCGTAGTCAACACCAAATACAGACCGTTACCCTCGCAGTTTCCCCTAGCCCATCACTTTGATACGAAGAATACTTCCACTTCATAGCTGCGGCTTCAATTTGTACATCGGAAATTTTGTCACCATAGGGCGCGTCCCATATCTTCGCTGGCTGATACACACCTTCTATTTTGTAAGAAAAGGATATCTCACACAATTTATTTCGTGACGCACCTTACTCTCAGAGATCAGAAGACTTTGAACAATTCTGTGTAAGAAATACAGCCATCTGCTTGTATTGTTTCCTCTCAGTCTCTCCTTGAAAAAAGTCTGTACAGAGTGATTCAGTCTTCGTTGCTCATTCAGAACCCTCAAATAGAATACAGCAAGTTATTTATGTATGCAAAAGAAAACAGTGTGAACCCTATTCAAAAGTTTGGAAAATATAAGTTTTTTTCATTGGTAATTTTTTGCATAAAGGTAGCCGAAATATTACATTAATTTTTGTTCCCTGTTGCTATTATTACCTACTTCTCTAATATAAAAGGAGAGAGAAAACTATTCGTTAAGTGTTATTTAGCATACTTTTTTTTATTATTGGCATCTACAGCCAAACTTTCGCATTTTCCCCTCGTGTAACAGGGGCTCTTCAACTGTTCAAAATGACCTGTTGCGTGATCGCAAGCTAAACATATGTGTCACACGGCCTCCGTGATGCGCACAACTCTGCCGGGTTAGCCCTTCATTTCTGCCGCCAGCCTTTCAATGTGCTGAAGAAGGCCATCAGCATCTACACTTCAGTAGTATAAACACGGTCTTTCATTGAATTGAATTGAATAAATGCCTTATTTTACGTGGCGAGACTCAGTCCATGAGGCCTGCTCTTCCGTCTGACAACGCAAATTTCGCTAGGCTTCTTTCACCAACTAGCAGAGAAAGGAGGTATTTCTGGGCGAAAATAGGCGATTTCAATTTCGCTATCCACATTTGTGCCCGTACCTTCAACGGGACGTCCTCCAGAGAGTACTTGAATCATAAAATTGAGATCCTGAACGCCTCTCAAACACTCAGGTAAGAAGTAAGGACCGATGATAAATTCACCCACAATGCCAACCCTCAAATTTACAGAGAATCACTCTTGGTGAGCGACGCTACGTGCGACATGTGAATTTTCCTCGGGCCACACATGCAAATTATGCACATGAATTGCTCCAGCTTTTAAAATACTTTTCATCTGCCAAAGAACGGTTTCAGAAATTCATGGTTTTTCTTTACATTTACACAGGAAATGCGTCGAGAATTCAAATCGACGTTGTAATTCGGTACCGCGCAAATACTACACCAGCTGGAAATGCAAAGATCATAGTCTGTCCGCTGAATCTGAATTGTTCGCTCGGTGAGAGACTGTGTTGCATTGACCTCGCACAGTATTTACCTTTTGCTCGTTTCCGGGGCTTAGAGGATAGTATTAATAACCGAGTTTCCCAGATAAGTGACAAGCCCTAACGCTCACTTGCCATAGCCCGTGTTACACAAGCACATGGTCCAAAGTTGAACGTTAATTATTTACAAAACTAAACGACGAAGATTATCGAATTTTGGCAAATCCAGTTTGTACTTTATATATGGGATATGGCCTCGGCGTATTACGCAAAGAAGACTAAATCATCCTGTATAGTGGAATAGCAGAAACATCTCCTGTATCCAGGGTTGTCAACATGGGAAAATATAAAGACGTTTTATGAGAATTCCTACCCTTCTGTATCAGTATTCGGGGATTTAGTTCGAGGAATTCGTCTTTACAAGTAATCAAAATAAGTGACCACCGAACAAATTTAATAAACAATAACATGTATGTAACTGGTTATTAATAATAAATGTCAACCTTAGGTTGACCAAAGGTTGTTAATAATAAAGGTCAACCTCATTATGTGAAAGACAGCCTCACAAACCGCTGTTGAATATTTCCCGTACTACATTGCAGTAACAGAACATTTTTGACATGAAACTCTCATTTACATTGTAATTTGCTCAAACTTTCAAACAGTAAAAGAACTTTTTTTACATCTCTCTGTGACAGCTGTTAAAGCTCTGAGGTCATAATTACCCCCTTCTGCCTCCGAAGGTAATGATTTGATAGAAGTAATACTTTCTATCAACCGATTTTTGTGACAATAATTCTCCCGCTCTTTGTCCGTCCGTTCATTTTTTTCAACTGCTTTCATGTTCGGCAAATTCCCTCTCCCGGGCAATAAAGCCCTCTTTCCACACACACACACAAAAGCTTTGTGACAATCGTTGGAAACGGAGTGGGCCGCTCTATAGGGCGCATCTAATAATGCGAGCGGGGGCCGCGCGTATAATTAGAAGTCCGCCGTACTGTTTTAGAGGCCCGAAAGCGCCGATCGCTCCGTCGCCGCTCATTTGTTACCGCGTGCGGGCCCATGTCGTGGTGCGGGGACGCGCCGCGCCGCGGCGCTCCGCGCGCTGTTCGCGAGCCGCTGACAGCCCTGGCTACTCGCGCCCGATCGAGTGGGCCCTGGCGCGCTCTATTGACAAATGACTCGCGGCCCCGACCACTCCACTTTACATAGAAACCTCGGCGGGAGAACCTTAACGCGATGGCGGGATTGCACTCGGTCGTAAACCGCGGTTTATTTCGCGATAATATAATACTTTAGCGCCCCCCCCCCCTTGCAAACAAGTTTGCCGTGTAAATATGGTAATGTGACAATGTTGTATTAATCCGAAAGGCAATTGTACCTTAACCGAAGTATACATTAACGTGCTAATTGCAGCAGTCGTGAACTACAATGCATTTCTGGCCGAATTGGTCTCGTGGCCCGCCAGTTCCCCGCGCTGTGACCTCGTGCGGAGGGTCGTAAATTACGAGGGCGTTAGAATGCTTATTGCGCTTATGATTTCACGA